AAGAAGAAGAAGGAGAGGGAGAGAGGAGGAGGAGAAGTAGAAGAAAAAGAAGAAGAGGGAGAAGAGAAGGAGAAAGGAGAAGAAGGAGGAAGAAGAAGAGGAAGAGGAGAAAGAGGGGGATGAGGAGGAAGAAGAAGAAGGAGAGGAGGAGGAGAAGTAGAAGAAAAAGAAGAAGAGGGAGAAGAGAAGGAGAAAGGAGAAGAAGGAGGAAGAAGAAGAGGAAGAGGAGAAAGAGGGGGATGAGGAGGAAGAAGAAGAAGGAGAGGAGGAGGAGAAGTAGAAGAAAAAGAAGAAGAGGGAGAAGAGAAGGAGAAAGGAGAAGAAGGAGGAAGAGGAAGAGGAAGAGGAAGAGGAGAAAGAGGGGGATGAGGAGGAAGAAGAAGAAGAGGAGGAGAAGGAGGAGGAAGAGGAAGAGGAGGAAGGGGGAAAAGAAGAGGAAGAAGAAGAGGAGGAGGAGATGGTTTGGACCTCTGAATCCTGGGGGGAGATCTCACCTATGGTTTCCCAAGGACTTCATTAACATGCAGAAGGTCACCAGGCAGGAGAGGACCAGGGAAGAGATGAAGCACACTGCAAAACAAGAAGGGGCAGAGAGGGATCCAGAATGATTCCCTGCAGGATTCCTAAAAGATTGAAGTTTTTTCCTCAAGATTGAAACAAAACCTACCCAGATGTCAGTCAGGGTCAGTCATCTGATCTTTAGCAACTTTAAGTTCTAAATACTTTCTCTAAATACTAATTTTAATCCCCCAGAACCCACAGAGTTCTCTCCTTCAGCCTCTCTGTGGCCGCCACAGAATCTGCCCAGGGATTAGTTTAGTTGGAGGTAACAAGAACGACATGGCTGTTGTGTATTGTTCGGTTTGAAGCCTCCTTCTGTCCTCCTTTGCATTAAACAGTTCTTCAATTAGTTCCATGACAGACACCCTCATAAGGCCAAAGGACACCCGGGGGGGCGGGGGAGAGGTGAGGTTGAAGGTTATATCACATTCCCAGAGCTCCAATTGGTCTTGCTGTGGCAGCCCTAAAGATGCTCCCAAAATGGCTTTAGTGCTGACATGCTGCCCCCCTCAGTTGAGAAGTACATCCCGTGAGAGAAAAAATCAAAGGGAGGTTAGTCCATATAACCCAGGGGTGGGATCCTGCCGGTTTAACAAATGGTTCAGAGATGCCCGTGTGTACGCAGATTTACCAAAACTTACCTTTGTCGTTACTTCTTGGGGGAGTAACACAGCTGAGGCGTGACAATCCGCTCTGCCGCGCTAATCAGCTGAGAGGATATAGGTAAGTAAAGCGCCGGGTAGGTGGGCCAACCTGATCGTCAAGGCGGTTCGCTCTCAGCTGATTGTCGGAGCTACCGGTTTGCCTGAACTGGTCCGAACCAGCTGAATCCCACCTCTGGGTTATATGGACTAACCTCCCTTTCATTTTAACTCGCAGGAGGTCCTTCTCAACTGAGGGGGGCAGCCTGTCAGACCTGAAGCCATTTTGGGAGCATCTTCAGGGCTGCCACAGCAAGACCGATTGGAGCTGTGGGAACGTGAGGGGGGGGAGATAGGTAGCCAAAATAACATTCTTTCCCATGGGAGCCAAGGACGCTCTACCAGGTGTTGGAGGGGCGTGGACAAAAGCCAGCCGGAGTTGGAACTGCAACCTGATTGGACCATGTCATGGACGTGTTGACCAGAGGGCAAGAACATTGGGTTTTGATTTGTGTGATGAAAACCCTGGTTCCTTCAGAGTCGGGTTTTTCACCAGCGGTGCCAATATGACATTCCCAATACATTCATACTCTGAGGAAACTCCAGGCCTCCGAGTTTTGAGTTCGTTGGGTCTGTTGCTTGGAACCCTGGCTGTGACTAGGTCATCTACTCCATGCACCTGGTTCTCAGATGTCTTTATGAGTGGAAACATCAAGAGATCTTTCTGCTGCCTCCCTGTGCGGCTTATTTCCTAGAATCTGCCTCAACCTTTGACAGTTTCCTGATGACTTGTTTTTTTTTTTTTAAACCATCCCACGCATCTTCGACCTTAAAATTCCAGGAAGCTTTACAGACCGTGAAACATCTCTGAAATAATTCTCTTTTCTCCAGGGACTTGTAAAGAATGCCTTGGCTCCCGTGTTCAGTTTAGCCTCAGCCCAGGCGTCTATTTTAAGGCCTGGATCACGAAAAGCTCCATCTTTCTTAGGAAGAAGCAGGCACTTGTTCAGATTTGCAACAACAGGACATCTGAGCCCCGACAGATGTTAAATATTAAGGATGTAGGAAGCCGTGATTCAGACCTCTTATCTGAAGGCAGCTGGACCGAGTCACCCATTCGCTCAAACGGAATTGCAGAATCCAATTGCGGAATCCAATGGCAACGGCCTCAATCTAAATGAATCTTAAGGGGTTTGGGTGCCTTCAAAAAGAGACTTGGGACACCAATGGACTCCTCTGCAGGCAGGTGTCCAACTTTCTATAATGACTGAGTCAGAACTCCAGATCAACTTAGTTCCGTTACGTGATCCAAAATGATATTCTGACTCGAACGGATTGACTTGCCAAAGGGAACGGGTGAATCTCCTATTCAGAATAGATCTTGGGTGAAATTAACCAAAGATGGGTTGTCCATTGAGTTGTGTTCATTCTTAAAAATGTATCATTTTTAATATGTTACCTTGGTACTCAACGGTTTTGAATTCATTTGGTACTCAACGCATTTTGATGCAAAAAGTTTGCCCCGATACTCATCGTTTGTTTGGTATTCAATGCACAAGCTAGAATTTGTCAGTGTTGACTGCCTTGTGACTCACTACTTTATTCCCTACGGGGAAAAAATTGTTTGGTACTCATCATGCCTCTCGAAACCAATGAACGATGAGTACCAAGGTACCACTGTATGTTTTTTATATTGCTGGGGGAAGTGAGACGATCAAGGATAAGCAAGCATTGCCATTGCTTGTTGAATTCCTTCTCAAGATTGACTATTGAATTCCTTTGCTCTGCTCTGTTTTGAGTTGCCTTCTGCAAGAACCTTCTTCATTCAAGCTGCGGTTGGCCAAGCACTGAAATGGACCCTGTTGTCCAAGGTTGAAGAAACATACCTTCCAATGACCAGATGTAGTGCTTAGCTGTTGCCAACTCTTTGTCTCCAGGAATGTTGGCAGGTTTTTCAGAAGGAATTAGACCAAACTGGACAAAGAGCGCAGTCATTTCCTTGGTCATCCCAGCTCTGATGATCTGGATGTTGGGGATGAAGGAAGCAAGTAGAAGAAGGGACACCTGCAAACCAGGAGAAGACAGATGAGGCTGGTACTACCACAGGTTGGGACAGGTTGAGAAGAAACTCTGGTGTATCTTACCTGGTAGACAGCTATCACCGCCATGGCTATAGAGAGGGCCAACTTCAGTGGGATCTGGAAACCTGCAACCACAAAATCACGGCTAGTATATCAAGAAGCATATTCTGATTGGTAGAAGATGAACCCAGGGCCTTTCAAATGTTGGCTAGCTAAATTTTGGATGTTACCAGGATTAGCGGGACTTGAAGTACAACAAACCCAGAAGTCAAAATTAGTTCAATACATGAACTGTGTTGAAAAACAGGCCCACAACGAGAGAAGGAGAACAACAAAAGAGATACAGAACGTCTTGGCAACTCCTTGCTCAAGAACACACGTGGCCTTCTTGAAGATGTAGATGTTCTGCAGATCTTTCCAGAACAACCACCAAAATGCAGTAGCAATAAAACAACAACAGCAAGCTACCCCTAATCCCTTCCAATACCTTCTTAAGAACCTACTGAAAAAGAATATACAAATTTAAATGCAGTACCTTCTTGGGGTGTGTATACAAATGTACGCAGGTAGGACTGGAGGCTCGAACGCACGCTCCGCTTCACTCCATTGATGCTGAAAGGAGAAGTTCACAAGAGCTGCCATAAATGCAAGGCTGGTCCTCACCAATCCTCCAGTTCTTGGGGGAGGAGGGGGGACGTAGTGGCTCAGTGGCTAGGATGCTAAGTTTGTCGATCAGAAAGATCGGCAGTTTGGCAGTTCAAATCCCTAGCGCTGCGTAACGGAGTGAGCTCCCGTTGCTTGTCCCAGCTTCTGCCAACCTAGTAGTTCGAAAGCACGTAAAACATGCAAGTAGAAAAATAGGAACCACCTTCGGTGGGAAGGTAACAGAGTTCCATGCGCCTTCGGCATTGAGTCATGTCAGCTCATGACCACGGAGACGTCTTCGGACAGCGCTGGCTCTTCGGCTTTCAAACGGAGATGAGCAGGGCCCCCTAGAGTCGGGGAGGACTAGCATGTGTGTGCGACGGGAACCTTTACCTTTAGTTCTTGGGGGATCAAATGGGGGTCTCACCTTTTCTTGGGTGTTCTTTTAGTCAGGAGGTGCTTCAAATATTCTTCATAATAGCTACTTCCTGGATCCTTCAAACAAACGAAGAAGCACTTCAAGATGAGATTCCAATAATTCGGGGGCTTCGCTAAACTCATGAAATCCCTTCCCCTTCTAGATGTTGCCTCATATCTCCCCTCCCTCCCTCCCTCCCTCCCTCCCTCCCTCTATTTTTAAAAAAAAAGTAGAACTGCAGTTGAGAATGCTGGCTCCCGAAGAATAGGAAATCCATAGAAGAGAATGTGTATATATCAGGGTTCAATTATGGGGACCTTGGTGCTCGCTGATCTTGGCTGTTTTCTTCCGGACGTTTCATTACCTAACTAGGTATCCTCATCAGTGTGAGTAAGTGGGGGGTTTGTTTCAGGGGTAGGACTGAAAAATTTTAGCAAGCAAACAACCCTGGTCAGAGAGCACCAAGGATTTAGACTTAGAAGAATAACTTTATTGCCACTTTAAATGTACACTAATAGCCATACATTAAAATGAAATTTCTCGGCCTTTTCTCCCGCGTTCGCCCCATGGGTGTGTGGTGTTTTTTTTAAAGCAATAAATAAAATGAAAGAAATAGGTCTGATTCGTGCTACCCCTTAAAAATGCCTCTCCTCATCTCCATCTGCTCCGCGAGCCGCGATAACAGTTGCAAAAGGTGCTAATTACACGGCTGCGCAGATGCCCAACCACATCTGGTGTGAAAGAAGAAGAATGGCGTAGTCATTCTGGGAATTGTGAGGAAAAGAGAGAAGACTGGGTGCACAATGAAAAAAATCTCCCTCCCTCCCTCCCTCCCACTCTCCCTCCATTCCTTCCTTTGCTCCCTCCCTTCCATCTCCCTTCCTTCCATCCTTCCTTCCTCCCTCCCACCCTCCCTCCATTCCTTCCTTTGCTCCCTCCCTACCATCTCCCTTCCTTCCATCCTTCCTTCCTCCCTCCCACCCTCCCATCCATCTTCCTTCCTTTGCTCCCTCCCTACCATCTCCCTTCCTTCCATCCTTCCTTCCTCCCTCCCACCCTCCCATCCATCTTCCTTCCTTTGCTCCCTCCCTACC